TTCCATTGTCCAGCACTGCCTGTCAATGAAATCTTTGAGATGTTTTGAAAACTTAGTGGGGGGGGGGCGGGGCAGGAATATATACCCTATCTTTCAATTTGCACAGGTAGTTTGAAGTGACTTCTATCCAGTTTATTCTTTTTAAACTTCAAATTTTATTTGAAAAAAATTCACGTCACCTTCACTTTTGAATGAATTCCTTACCCTTCTTTACCCAGGGATCCATTACTTGTAATGAAGAAGATAAAAAAGGGGGAAAAAAAACCATTCAGAAAAATTAACCAAGATATCCAGTGAATTTGGCATTGTATGCAACATTCCATTTCTCCCTCCTGACAACCTCTGCAAATAAGGGAGGGATTCATTTCATTTCATCTCAGGACCATTAGAATTATAGAGTATTCTACTTCCTTCTGATTTCCATCGACATTGCTATACTCATTGTATTGTCTTTTTGATTCATTTGCCTATCATTGGTGGTAGAGGAAGTGTTTCTACCGGGAGTGCCCTGCTTCAATAAAATCACAGGTCTGGTCTAGAAATCTTCCAGGTCGTGTATATGCTTTCTCTCTACTCAACCCTCCTTTCTTTCTGGTATCAGTTTTAGAATACAGGTGGGCATAGGGTGTACATACTAACCAGGTTTGGCACTCACTTGAAATCTGAACAGGGCATATAAATTTAATAAATCATCAAGGGAAGATGCAAACACCATCGTCTGAGAAGTATAAGGATTTTACTGGGTGGGTGGAGGCATTAAATTGAGTATTGATGTTCAAAAGCTTTTCAAGATCAAGGTCTCATTAGAAAGGAAGAATAAAATACGGGGATAGTTGAATGGCTGCATTGGGGTGGCACCCCTCCACTGATTCAGATAGCGGCCCTCCCATGCTTTCTCATCATTCAATCATGTCTTTGTATGGATTCTCCCTTCCACAGAGGATCCATAAAAGGAACACCATCCTCCCCACCCCCTTCTGTCTCTCTGTCTCTGTGTCTGTCTCTTTCTCTCTCTATGTCTGTCTGTCTCTGTCTCTCTGTCTCTGTCTCTCTTCTGTCTCTCCCCCCAACCCCTTGTCAGAGGAAAGCTTAAGAGTGACAACATGCATTTCCCCTAGTTATTAAAATAGACTATATTCTTTGAGAGTGGGTGACAGGCAGCCCAGAGAGGGCATAGACCCATGGAGTCAGAAGACCACCCTAGAGCCTCACTTTCCTTCATCTGTAAAATGGGGATGATAACATTTGTACTCTCTGCCTCCCCCGGGATACCACGACTAACTTTCCAACTGCTCTTCTTTAGTTGATATGTGGTGAGCCGTTTGTCTTGGGTCTGTATTTGAGGGGTAAAAATGCCTGGCTCTATAGAGTTGCTATCATCCCAAGACATTCCTAAACCATGTCTGTGGCCAGACTTCCTAGGTTCCTGTCTAAAGGGTTACCTTGGTCGTCTCCAGGTGCGGCTTTCCTCCATGGGGACAATTGCAGCTGGGAATCTGTCAGCCCTGCTTTCTATGTGGAAAGCTATAAAGGTTGTTTATAAGGCTGTTTGCCAAGGGGGACCAGAATACCCATAAAATCCTGTGATAATTGGGCCTGGCTGGTTTACCTTTGTTCTGCCCGTAATGAAAGGGTTTGCTAAGCAAAGGAATTGTGTAATGAGATTGGGGTAGGGGGTGGGGGGGCGGAAAGGATTTTTTTTTAACACTTTTCCCCCCTTCTATACACACTTTAGAAGAATCATTTACATATAAACAATCAACATGCTAATTACAGAATCTCTTATGTAAACAACTGATAGGCTAATTACAAATAAGCTCTTCCATAATCTTTTAAGGGCCTTTCCCAACTCTTTCTATTTCTAGGTGCCAGAACTTTGAAAGTAAAAGAGAGGCCTTTTAAAAAAATGTTTTATTAACAAAGTTAACAACTGAACTGGCTTAGTGACGATTTACATTTAAATTAATTTCGATGCATAGAGTAGCAAGGATCTTTCGAAAGCCCCTCTAAGTCCCCATCAGGATTCTTTGTCCTCTGCATCTGATTTAATTTTTCTCCATGTGCTCCCTTCTGAAACCGGCATTTCTTTCAAACCCCATTTCCACTCCGTTTGCCCCTCCCTTTGTTTCTGGCCTCTCTGTAATTGACCATATTAATATGAGGAACCCCTGGTTGCTGATCTAACTTGATCACTTAGAATAAAAGGAAATTTGCAGGCGTTATTAATTTCTGAACAGTGGGGGAAATCTGGAGTGGAGCCAAGCCTGCTCTCTTTGCTTCTTCCCTGGGGCTGGTTCTGCTTGAGGCTTCTGGCTTTGCTCCAATGACCTCCTGAGGTGGGACTGTTTTGAAAATGCTGCTTGGAAATCTGCCTTTTATTAACTAGAAATTGCCCCAGATATTGTGTTTCTTGCTAATAATAACTCACATTTCTTTAAGATTTTGCAAAGCCCCTTTCCCATAATAGCTCTGGGAGGTGGGTAGTGTGAAATTGATTACTGCCATTTTTCAAGAGAAAGAAACTGAGGCTCGGGCTCAGTGAGTTAATGACTTGTCCAAGTATCACACAGCTCCCTGCCAGACTTAGTGGTAGTTCTGAGATTCAAGCCAAAGTCTCCTGGGTCCAGCACTCTTCATTCATTCATTCATTCATTCATTCATTCATTCATTCATTTAGTTATTATTTTTTGGAGTGTCTGGAAGCAGTATTTGCTGAGGAAAGATCAGGTGAAAATAAAGCAAGACCAAATAAACCAGACTAAAAAGAAGGCAGTTGGGGCTTATGTTTCAATATTTGTATTTAGCAGTATTTCTCTCTGGACCTTAGACTATTCTGTCTCTCTCTCTCCTTTGTCTTGAAAAAAAAACTTTTTAAAAAAATACTTTTAGTCTCTATCTTAAATCTTTTCTCAGTACACCACTCCCATTGAATCCTCCCATTGTTACAAACAAAAGAGTGAAGCTAGTAGGCTCCCACCTCTCCTTGGAAGGGAATGGGGGAGGGAAGATGCATATCCTTGTCTCTTCTGGCTTGGTTGTAACGTTCTTTCGTTTACATGGTTGTGGCTGTGCCCATTCTTTTCCCACTTTTGGTTACTTCCCTCTGCGTCAGTCCATTAAAAATCTTCCCCTGTTTCTGAGAATTCTTCACATTCGTTGATTCATACAGAGCAATAATGTTGCATTACATACCTGGGCCACAGTTTGTGTAGTCACATCTAGATTGTCGGACACCCACTAAGGTTTTTTTCGCTTTTATTACCATGAAAAAGTGTCCATTACAGGCCTTTCCGGTTACACCACACCTCCAACAGCCACAAAGAAAGACAGGTAAGCAAAACCAAAGGGACACAGTAACTGCACCTGTAGCCCTGCCCCCTCCACCCCCCTCCCAACCTACCAGAAGGAGGGAGGTGAATTTCATCATCTGTTTTCTGAGACCAGATTAGTTGTTACAAATCCTTAGAGTTTAGTTGCCTTGTAGCATTAGGTGTTTTTTTTTTTTTTAATTGTGTCTATTGTTTTCCTGGTTCTGTTTTTTAAGCTCTGCATCAGTGGACATGTATCTTCGTACATTTCTCTATTTCTTACAGCCCAATAGTATTCTATCATGTTCATGTACTGCAATTGCCTCTCATTGCCCAATGGAAGGACACCTACTTTGCTTCCAGTTTCTTTCCCCCCACTGTGTTATTCGCATTATATCAGGAAACTGCCTCCTCTTGCTTATAAGATTCTTATTTAAGAGAATGTTCTGCCTCTTTTCTGGCCGATGCATATATTAGGAAGCTGAGAATCTTCCTCAAGCAGAGACTAGCATTGTAGCCATCAGGCTAGTTTTGCCTTATCCAGGACACTTGTGGGCGGAGGGCAGCACCCTCGTATCAGAGATTCTTGGGAAATGAAGGGGTCCAGGACACTCAGGGTATTGTCTCTCTTCTTTTGGCTCATAGCCCCCACCCAGGAAACCTGGGAAACTGTGTGCATGGTAACCCCCAGTATAGGGAAGCTTGCCACCCCACTTGCAAACATGCCAGTTCACAGTATTATAGAGGAAAAGCTTTATTAAAAGGAGGAAAACAAGGCAGACTTTTGAATGAGTAACCATTTAGTCCCGAATATGTATGTAAGGCTATAGTCATAGTTTTGACTGTGTGTCCCTCTGGCAACTCAACCCTCCCTCCCTCCCCCCTTTACTGAAGTCTAGCTAGTTAAAGGCGAATGTGCTGGAAGCTTGCCTCCTTTCTCCTACCAATGTTCTTTTCTTTTTGCCCTCCCAACAATCCCAAAAGTCAAACTCAAGTGGCCTCTCTCTCAGATTTAAAAGGAAGAGGAAGTCAAGGCACAGGGGAAGAGAGATGAGGGGACATGGGTGGGGCAGGGAAGGGAGCTTGTCCAGAAGGCAGTAGAATAGATGTCTTAGCATTTATTTTAGGAGCTCAAAGAACTATTCCCCTAACTTCAGAAGTCCAGAGTGATCAGGTGGCTTCAGAGCCTAGGGAGGGAAGGAGTATAAAAGATGGACCTGGGGCTGGAGGCAGAGGTGTGTCAGTCAAGGTCTCTAGGATGAGTAAGTGGTCTCTGCCCCTCCCTGCTCCAGGGGGAAGGAGGCTTAGACCTCTTGTGCCCATCCTAACCCCAGTGGGGCACCTAGCTCTATGAGGAATCCTTAGAATCCGGGGGGGGGGGCTGGGGCTTTGGCTGCATAGGCCAGCTACTAGACAAGGAGACTATGATCAAAGGGTAGGAGAAGGACATGAGAATAGAGGGCACAATAGCTGCATGCAAGAGGCATGTCAGACACAGGAAGGAGCAGCTGCCAGCCCCAGGCCAAGGTCCACAGACCAGTGTCAAAAGGTCATAGCCAGGGGGCAGCTAGGTGGTACAGTTGATAGAGCACCGGCCCTGAAGTCAGGAGGACCTGAGTTCAAATCCGGCCTCAGACCAAACACTTGACATGCGCTAGCTGTGTGACCTTGGGCAAGTCACTTAACCCCGATTGCCTCACTAAACCCCCCCCCCAAAAAAAAGGTCATAGCCACAGCAGGGTAGTAAAGGTGGCTGGTGGCATATATTGCACCCCTGCTCACTCTATCTAGCCTCTGGTCCCCAGAGCCCTGCATGTTAATCTAGGTGCCCACTGAAAAAGGCTGTCTGGGGGGGGGGGCCTGTGTCAGACAGATCTAGATATTGGGCTTGGAGGAGTTGGGAGCTCAGAGGATCTGCTTCTCCAGGGGAAGCTGCATTTTGGAGGAGACTGGTTTCCGAGAAGTCATCTCCTCTTCATTGTTAGGCTCGTAGGCACCGGTGCTCTGGTGCTTCTTCCAAAGCTTCCATCCAACCAGAGTCACTGCCATCACCACGAGGAGAATGCAGAGGGCTGAGACGCCATAGATGACAGTTGTGGGCAGTCCCTGTGACTGGGCTCCATTTTCTAGAGATGCTGCTATGGAGGTGGTGTTTTCACTACTGAAGGATCCAAGAAATAATGCCAGGGTGTGTCTGGGATTGAGTAGTTGCAGACAACTCAATACCAGGCATAGCCCCAAACCACATCCTCCTCCCATAGGTCTCCCAAGAAGTAGACTGGGGGACTGTGCTGCTGCTGACCTGGCTCTGGCTTCTGGGCGGCTTGATCATGCCATGCCCTTAGTACCACTCTTTCAGCCTTGCCCCTCCAAATTCCTTCCTCCCATTTAGGGGGAATTATATTGCTTCTCTTGGTTTTTTCTTTACACCATTGTCACCTCCCAAAAATCAACCCCCACCATAGAACTCTCTTTTGTAACTAAGGAAAAGTTAGGTCAAACAAACTGACTGTGACTGTGATGAATAGTGTATCCCCCAATTTGTACCCAGAGTCACCACCTCTCTACTTTCATCATTAAGTCTCTGGAACCAAAATTAGACGTGTGTAGAATCAGAATTCATGTTGTTCAATATGAAATTCATTTACCTTGTAGTGATTGTGTTCATTCTCCCAGTTGTGTTTTTTTCATCCCACATCTGATCACACATGCCCAACTGTGTTTGGTGTCTTGCCGTTTCTCTTAGAGTTGCTAATTCTGTGGTCCACACAGTTTGTCAGGCAAGGCAAGACAAGGTTGAGGCTGTAACAACAGTGATAACAACTGATATTTACATAGCACTTTCAAGGCATGACAATACAATATATTACATTGGAACAGTTTCCCAACCTTTTGGTGTCACACCTCCTCTGCCTAGAGGATGAAGGTCTGGGAGGCAGTGTGGTCACCCAAGAAATGCACTGGACTTGGGGTCACAAGATGAGTTTGAATCCCTACTCTGACGTTTACTACCTGGGTGACCTTGGGTAAATCACTTAACTTTTCTTGTCCTCACTTTTCCATTCTAGAGAATGATGGAGTTGGACTAAATGACCTGAGTTCTCTTCCAGCTCTAGATATAGGATCCAATCACTCTCTTTTCCTTTTTCCTCTGGTTCTTTGCCTTTCCTACTCTGGTTTGTAGTCCAACCCATAATTCCTCCTTGTCACTCAGATGGAGGGAAGGGACAAGGATCTGAGCAGTCAGTACATTTAAGACAGTTCACAGGCTTTGGGGGGGGGTGAGGTGTCATGAAGGTGCTTGCAATTATGACCCAGTGAAAAGCTCAGCCTTCTACTGGGAAATTCCCAGAAAGCACACACTGAATTAACTTATTTTGACATGCCATCAAAATTTGAGATATTTAGGAATTGTTTAGTGGTGAAAGAATTGTGGGCTTCTTTTTGGGGGGAGGAGGGAGAATGGTCGAGAATTTTTCTAGGCCCTCTCTATTTGCACGTAAGCATTCTTGCATTGTCATGGCTTTTTTGTCTTGTATCTCTGCTCACCTCTTGTAACTACCCCACAAATGGTTTTCCTTAGCTCTGCTGAACCAGCTGCCCTTATGTTCCTCCTCTTTTTGTAATGATTAATTTTGACCTTGGCAGCCCTTTCTCATCTTTTCATTCTTTCTCTCCACTCCCTAAAGTTCCTTTCATTTAATAAAATGCTCATCGATGGTCTTTTCTATCTGGTAGATTTATTTTGACAGACTGTAGCGGGAGTGGGGTGGGGTGGTAGGGATATAGAATGAAGTCTTGCCTTAGTTGAAGCAGTATTTGCAATAGCCTCTATTTGTTTGGAACCCTCACTGGGCTGACTTCATGGAGATGGGCCTCTGTGAATCTTTGCTCAAAGCTTCCTCCTCCTTTGGTTTCAAGCAGGATCCTAAATCTGGCAAACCCTGGATGCTGATATGATAGTGGAGAAAGGCTAAGGGGCCTGGACCTGGCGTTGGAACCCGGGCTCTTCCACTTACTGCCTGTACTTTGGGCCACTTCCTTACCCTTTCTGGGTCCCAGTTTCCTCATCTATATAATGAGACCAGATGCCCTCTAAGGCAATATTCTCTAATTCTTATCATAGGGCTCCATACCCTGTTCTTCCTGAAGTTGTTTCAGTCCAAAACTTTGCCTGCAACCATGATTCATGAGGGTAGTGTGTGTGTGTGTGTGTGTGTGTGTGTGTGTGTGTGTGTGTGTGTGTGTGCGCGCATGCATGTGTCCCCTTACTGTTCCTTAGAGTAAACATAGGTTTAGAGGTCCATGACCTTACAGGTTATGTGGCCCTACTCCTTTATTACAGACAAGGAAGAAACTGAAGCCCAGAGAAGTTAAGGGACTTGCTGAAGGTCCCATGGGAAATGGCAGAGGCAAGATTTGAACTCGGGTCCTCTGACTGTAAATTCAGGACTGGTGCTACACAATAGGTTGCTAAAAATCCACTTCAGCCAAATTCCTAAACACGACTGACATGTTACATGGTAGGAAAAATCTATTTACAAATTATTATCGCTTGTAAGTAGAGTGCACGCGTGCGTGTGTGTGTATACACACCCTTTCCATAGAGGGATGTTTTCAGCACTGAATTTGGGGTCAGAGGACCTGGGTTCAGATCTCGGCCCTGTTCCTCAGTAACAGTTTAAACTCAGACAAGTCCTTTGGTATCTCTGGACCTCAGTTTCTTTTTGCTTTAAATGAGAGGGTTTGACTCAGTGACTTCTCAGATCTTTTCCATTTGTAGATATGGAATCTGGGATGTGACCTTGCTCGAGTAATTTTGCTCCCTTGGCCCTCCTTTTCTTTCTCCTCTGAATGAAGGGATTGGCTTCAGTGGTACCTGAGGTCCCATCCACTTCAAAGAGCTCTGAGCCTCTCTGACCCCGTACTTTTCCTCCAGCAGCCATGTTTAGTCTGCTGTAGCTGTGGGATTAGAAGCCCATTCTATTGCTTTTTAAACATTTCCATCTTTTATCTTTCAGCAAGTCCTAGAAAGAAACCTTCTAATGGGTTCCTCAGTGGTGGTTTTTAGAAGATGGGAGGGAGTTTCGTTATTTTGACAGGTGGTTGGTGAAAGAAGTTCTTAGAAGGTGGGGTGAGGGAAGAAGGGACTAGCTGAGAGTCTCTTGTTTTCGGAAAGTCTGACAAATGGCAAATGGTGTCTTCAAAGAGGCACTCCCCAAAGAGGAACGGAATTGGGAGGTGCATAGGATCATGTAGCTACCTCTTTGAGTGACATTTCTGAATCTTTGCCTCTTAAGCACCCCACTCACCCACATTCCACAAAACTAGGAGGTGGAAAATGAAATAATAGATTGGAAAATGAATTTCCTTGACTAAGTGGCAGTGGTGGGGCATTCCAAGTATATGTTTACTTGTCATTAAGAATATCAGAACTGCCACTTGGGTCAACGCCTGTATGTCTGAGCTCATAGCTAAGTTCATCAGAGTGTGCAGTGGACTGTGTTAGAGATCATGCTAATGGGAGGGATGTACATGCACACACACGAGGAACAGAAGCTCAGAAGATTTAGAGCTGGAAGGGACCTTACAGGTCATTGAATCCCAGACCCTCATTTGACAGGTGAGGAAACTGAGGCCTAGAAAAATGAAGTGACTTGGCCAAAGTTACACAGATTGTAAATGGCAGACCTGGGATTCAGACTTAGTTCCAGCACTCTGGGTGCTATACCTAGAATTGTTGTCATGACCTATGAATGGAAAATGGCTTTCAAAAGGATAGCTATCAAGGGGGCCAGAATATGAAGGCAGAGTAGCTGATCACAAACAATTCCTGTGACCAGAACAGGGAAGATCAATGGAGATGGAAATAAAGAATATCACGGGGCAGCGAGGTGGCGCAGTGGATAGAGCTCTGGCCTTGGAGTCAGGAGGACCTGAGTTCAAATCTGGGCCCAGACACATAACTCTTACTAGCTGTGTGACCCCAGGCAAGTCACTTAACCCTGATCACCTCACCAAAAAGCAAAAAAAAAAATATTGCCATTTGGCATAGGACAGATGGAGTTATTAAGCTGCTAGATTAGACAATGCTGCCCCAAAGAGTCTGCCTATCTTTTACCCAAGAATCTGACAAAGCATCTCCTCCTCTTCTTGATTCTCCTCCTACTTTTGTAGAGAGCTGTGGTCTAGACCAGAGATGTCAAGCACGCAACCCACAACCCTCCCACCTGTGGCCCAAACCAGATTAAAATGTAATTGGGAAATACGGAGCAAAAGAAATAAAAATACACAAAAACATAGATAACATGGCATTTGAAAACTAAGTCACTGTGCAGCCCACAGGGATCCTCATGTCTGGTTTTAGTGGCTGGTGTTTGTCTTTGAGTTGGATAGCGCTGACCTAGAATTTAGTGCTTCTTAAACTGTGAATCTCGACCCTATCTGCAGTTTAAGAAGTGCTGAAGGGGTCATGAGTGGAAAAAATTTAAGAAGACCTGGCCTACATGACCGTTCAGTCAGATGGTTTGAGAATTGGAATGTTTGTTGAAGGTTCCATAGCAGTTTGGCTAAAGGCCTCTGGTGGAGTGTCCCAGGGATCTATGCTGTGCATTTTAATGTTTTTTTGTAAGTGACTTCAGGGCTTAGGTGATATGCCATTGAATTTGTAGAGGACACAAAGCTAGGAAGGATAGCTAGCATGTTGGGTGGCCGAATCGGGATCCTAAAAGATTCTGATAGGCTAGAATGTTTGGGGATATCTAATCAGAAGTGACAGGCCTTTCTCTGCCCTCTCTGCCATCCCAATTAGCCTTTGTGTTGGGTGGAGAAGGGTCCATAGAAGTGTTACATGTAGTCCTAGAGTTTGGCTTTTGTTTTTTGGCAGAATAAATTCCTTGTCTTCATCACTGGACTCAAATGAGGGTGAGGTTTGCAAAGTGCTTTGCATAATTTCATTTTAGACTCATGGCAGCCTTGTGAAGTTGCTACCACATAGCTTTTCCTTTTTCCACTTTACAAAAGAGCAAATTGAGACTCACTCAGACAGACTAAGAGCTTGCCTCATGGTCTCCCAGTCGTTAAGAGGCAAGATTAGAGTTCAGGTCTTCTTGACTCTGCCCAGCTCTGACATCACAAAGATTCCATGGAGACCAAGTTGAACTGGTTGGTCTGCTCTGAGTTCTAGCATCACCAAATAAATAATTAAATGAGAGAAGCACACATTTAAGAAAATTGTTCACTTTTTGTCCTTTTGGGCTAAGCTTTGATAATGGGGGAGGGGAGAGAAGGAAATGTTGAAATGCCAGATAAACCAATAATAGCTGGATATAATCTACACAGAGCACTTTGCAAACTTTTGTCAATATTCACAATTATTTCCTCATCCAACTCTTAAGAAGATGCCAGAACTCAACACAGTGAAATGAACTGAAGTCAGACAAGCTCAGAGTAGAGAGAAATCTTAGCCTGGAAAGGCCGAAGTTTAGCTGGTTAGACTTTGTGCATCCAAAAGTCCACTGTGGGGTGAGTCTGAGGGAATTTCCATGATTTCTACTGTGGGAATTGGGAGAGAGAACTCTAACTCTGAGTAAGGAAGGAAATCAAGTCCCCCCAGTTACAGATAGATGTGTTCTAAAATAAGCATTTTTGACGTGAGATAAAACATGTAACGAAGAAGTTCCACTGTTCTCTAGAAAATGGCATTCTTAAAGGGCAAGGGTGTCTAGATCTGTTTCTCATGTGGGGTCCCTGAGAGACACATCTCTCCCGCCTGCCCCATTGCATGCCTGTTGGAACTGGTG